ACAATTCCTCTATAAGAATTTAGTTAAATAAGAATAAGAAAACTCTTGAAAACTATTTAGTATAAAATTCTACCCCAGATCCACAGATTTCACAAACTTAATCCAACTGAAAATAAGAGAATTCCAAATTATTAATCCGAATAATCAATTTGACGTTGGGCCGGTTCTAGAAAGATGACTCCTAAGATTGGTATAAGAGCGGAATTATCTAAACCGCGCTCTTATACAACTCTTAACGCTAATACCAGTGCTTAGGAAATTCGAATTCTTTAGTAAATAAACAAACAGAATATGTAAAAAATAACAGAGAATATTATTATTTAGAACCAAATCACTAATTTAATCAAATTACTTATGGAGTCTATTCTAAACTTACAAAATACGCCAAGGGACTGTTCTCAATTTACAAAACCGCGCTCCAGCTACATTCTTCAACAAATTATTGAGAACCTTAAAACAAATTACACAACACCACTGTATTCATGAACTAGGGTTTGCAGCGGAAAGGAAAAATTGTTTTGCGACAATTTTGCATTTTTAGCGAAAATTTTCGCATTTCGCTTCAATGTGTTTCGCGAAAATTTGCGAAGAAATGGATACACAATGATGCGAAAATTTCGCGAAAAAATTCAGAATTAAAAAAATCATCATCAACTTTTTTTCCTTGAAAAATCCTCTGTTGTACTGTTTCTTATAATTCAAGAAGTACAGTTTTTGACAAACAAAACAGAAAATAATCATATTTACCCCTAATCCCAATCCTAATAATTTATATGCAAAAACGGACCTCATGGACAAAAACTTGGATCATGTCCTTCTAGTTCTAAAGAAATTTTAGAAATTAAAACATTCATGCTTTTCTTGCACTGTGTCAAATTTAACCTTAAGAGAAGATGTATGCTGCTAAAACGAACCAGAAAACGATCGTTTATTGGTTCCTTTATTTCATTTTTCCTCTTCGGATAAACCTTTGCCATTTTAGTGTAGGCAAAATTTCTCAGTAATACAGTTGGGACCTTTTTGTGGTGCTTTTTCAGAGTCCAACATCCTTAAAATCTATATTGACCAGCAGCAGTTCTATGTTTCTACCCTGCAAATATAAAATCTATATTGACCAGCAGCAGTTCTATGTTTCTACCCTGCAAATATAAAATCTATATTGACCATCACCAGTTCTATATTTCTACCCTTTGAGTATAAAATATATATTGACCATCAGCAGTTCTATATTTCTACCCTGCGAATATAAAATCTATATTGACCATCAGCAGTTCTATGTTTCTACCCTGCGAATATAAAATATATATTGACCATCAGCAGTTCTATGTTTCTACCCTGCGAATGTCAAATAATTAAGACAAACTTATTTCCAGGCAGTCGTTGCTTGACTGGCGGAGAGTTTAGACGTATTACTTTGGTTTAAACTGGAAAACCATTCATGTGGTTGCAACTTGTAAACATATATAGAGTAAAGGGACTGTTGTTGTACTTTCCAACTAAATAGAAGTGTAAAGATTCACAAAGATACCCTGTAAACCTATAGTAAAATAAATCGTCATTTTTTCAGCTTGAATTCTGGCTTCTGCCCATTTCCTTCAAAACTATACGCAAGTAAATAGTTGTCTAGTTGTCTAGTTTTCAAGCTCTCTAGTTCTTTAGTTGTCTAATTGCCTGTTGATTAGCTGGCTAGCTGTCTTGTTGTCGAGTTGTCTAGCTGTCCATTTATCTAGTTGTCTAGTTGTCTAATTTTCTAGTTTTCTAGTTGTCTAGTTGTCTAGTTGTGTAGTTTTATAGTTGTCTAGTTTAATAGTTGTCAAGTTGTCCAATTGTCTAGCTGTCTAGGTCTATACTAGCCTAGTTGTCTGCTTGTATAGGTGTCTTGTTGTATAGTTGTCTCTTGTATAGTTGACCCTTTTTTGTAGTTGTCTAGTTGTCTAGTTGTTTAGTTGTAAAGTTGTCTAGTTTTCTAGTTGTCCATTTGACTAGATGTCTAATTGTCTGGTTGTCAAGTTTTATAGTTGCCTATTTGTCTAGTTGTCAAGTTGTCTAGTTGTCCAGTTGACTAGTTTTCTAGTTCTCTGGTTTTCTAGTTGTCTAGTTGTCATGCAGTCTAGTTGTCTAGTTGTAAAGTTTTCTTGTTGTCTTGTTGTCTTAATGTCTAGCTGACTAGTAGTATAGCTTTAAATTTGTCTAGTAGTCTAGTTGTTTAGATTTCTCATTGTCTAGTAATGTAGATGTCTAGTTGTCTAGTTTTCTAGTTGTCTAGTTTTCTAGTTGTCTAGTTGTCTAGTTGTCTAGTTGTCTAGTTGGCTAGTTGTTTAGTTGTCTCGTGTTCTAGTTGTCCAGTTTTCTAGATGTCTAGTTGTATAGTTGTCTGGTTGCCTAGTTGTATAGTTATATAGTTGTCTAGTTGTCTAGTTCTCTGGTTTTCTAGTTGTCAAGGTGTCTAGTTGTCTGGTTGTCTAGTTGTAAAGTTATCTATTTTTATAGTTGTGTATTTGTATAGTTGTCTAGTTGTCTTGTTGTTTAGTTTCCTAGTTGTCTGGTTGTCTAGTTTTATTGTTGTGTAGTTGTGAAGCTGAGTATTTGGGAGACCATCATAAGCAATTTGAGCAATTGAATTATTTTAAAATGTTTTAGATAAAAATGGCGACAACAGATGAATTTGATAAACCAGAACTATCAATTAATAAACTCAGTCTCTCTGATTTACAAGGTTTATTCTCGCTTACATCTAGTATACCTGGTTTATCAGCCAGCATACTTAACCTGACCGCTAGCCTCGCTGGGCTCAGCCAGACTCTACCTGTAAGCGCGCCAGGTAGTGAGCGTACTTCTAGAGACCCTAGAAACATGACCCACGCCGAACTTCAGGATTTGAAGTTTGAGAACCTGGAGAAGAATACAGATCATTTCTTTCTCATCATCATTGCCATCATCATCTTCTTCATGCAGGGTGGGTTTGCGTTCCTAGAGGCAGGGGCTGTCAGGTCAGTCATGGTTTTACATCAAACAGGAGTTTACACTGTAAGTAAAGGGGATAGGGGGGGGTAATTTTTCTTCCTTATGGTCATATCTGTAAATTAGGTTTTAAGTCTCCTCGCTATGGTAATAATTACATAACTGTACTCGAAAAATTGAAGGAACATTTTTGAGGTCACTTAAAATACAACCAACACACAAATCAAATAAAGTTGCTAATCAAATAGATTGTTAAGTACAATAGATGGCAACGTAGTATTTGAACACTCTCAGCACAGCTGTATTCTTACATCACAAGTGTCAGCTCAGTATTATGTCCGACAAAATTATTAATAATAATGACAATTTTAGAATAAAGAGCTTGTCTTACAGTGAAAAAGTGCAATTTTATGTGTTATTTATTTTCTGTTTTTAAACTTTTTATTTAATCTTGAAAAAACATGTCAAATAATGTGAGAAAATTTCGTTTTCTCTGTTATATTTGACACTTGTGACGTCGTGTATAATTTATCCATTTCTCTGTTGCCACCTATTGTACTTGATAATCTATTTGGTTGCTAACTGTAGTCTGTAACACAGGGGGCAGGACCAGGTCGTTGCACCCCCTCCCCCCCCCCTTGCAAGAACAGTTCTTAATTAACTTATTAATTTGTCAAAGATAAAAGAGTGGTTCTTGGGTCCGAAAGATTGTTTGAGAGCTTATTTTTTGTTGTTGCTAGAAAACTAAATTTGAAAATAAACTGAAAGCAAATTTCACCTAAAATGATCAGTTTTGAGAGTTCATAATACAGATTTTCTTTTTAACATTATTGTCAAGCTATACTACAGAGTTACCCACAAAGGATAAGACTTCAGAGACGATTGTACGGAATTTGTTTAGTCCATTTCCTTGCATTCAGGGTTCTTTGTAGGCCAAAACTGAATTATTTCTGTGCTAAATCATTTTGTAAACCATCAAAATATTCAATTGAGTGCAGACGCCAAAAAGCAAGCTTCAAATCGTCATATTTTCAGAGTTTTGGGTCGTCACCTTTAAGTTTAACTAAGTAATAAGAATAATGAGAGAATGGTGTGAGAAACATTCTAAAACTATCACGCGTACAAAGTATGATCCAACGTTTCAAAATCAAGTCTGGGGCACTTTGTAGTCTCTACGCACACATGTGACGCAAGCGCTTCAGGCGATGCACCTGCATTCGGGAGTGCATTGCATTGCAAGAAAGTACAGATTTCAATCAATTATATTTGGGTGGTAAAATGGATATAAGATAAGTAACTGCTGGGGGGATATGTAATTGTATAATGTGTACTTAACAATTGCTTCAGACCAATCCCCCCTACCTTTAGTGTACCTACCTTGCTCCGGACCATTCCCCCTACCTTTAGTGTACCTACCTTGCTCCAGACCTATCCCCCTACCTTAGTGTACCTACCTTGCTCCAGACCTATCCCCCTACCTTTCTCCAGATCTATCCCACTACCTTGGTGTACCTACCTTGCTCCAGACCTATCCCCCTACCTTATTGTACCTACCTTGCTCCAGATCTATCCCCCCTACCTTATTGTACCTACCTTTCTTTAATCTATCCCCCCTACCTTATTGTACCTACCTTTCTTTAATTCTATTTTAGGTCGAAGAACACAGTGAATATACTTATAAAGAATCTTCTTGATGTACAGCATCTTTCGCCCCCCTCTCGCCTCTCACTCCCCTTTTTTGACTTTAGCATGCTCCTGATTGTGGACCATCTTTTACAAAATTTTGCCAATTAAGAAAAAATACCAAAATGTTTCTTTGGCGCTTCGCGCATCGAATTTCTTATGGAATTTCTAACTATTTTCTCGTTTTCAACTTAAAGAAAATCAGTCTTTTTTAATTTGTTCTCTCAAAAACCTGTATAAATTTTACTTCTCAAAATCAGCGCATTTAGATTTAAAGACAATGTACAATGTAATATATCTAGGTATGTTCAGGTTAACAAATATGTGGATTACTGTATTTATTACATACTAACTACTATGGACTGCACAGACCTACGATTAAAGAACTATATAGTGGACAAATGTGACTAGTGCATGAATTTAAAAATACATAGTGAATATGAATAAGCCAGGAACTAACAGACCTTAAGAAATACATGAAAAGGCCTTTGGAAGTGAAGTACATGGCATGTACAATTAGTAAAGGATAATCGTACATCATCACTCTATAACCTCGATGGATGGAAACCCTAAGATAGATAGATAGATAGATAGATAAATACATAGATGAATAGATAGAAATATATCTACAAATATCATAAAAGTCCTTTAAAAGAAGACTTTATCATATAAAAATAGGGCCTGGTACAAACCATGCTGAAGATGCACAAAATCCAGTTCTTTGTTGTTTGCATAGTTAATAGTTAATTTTTAGTTACACAGTTTTACAGTTTTCCTTCTTTTTGTCAGGTAGAATAGATATGTAGTAAATGCCGTATAATCATAGAGAAGAGAATATATAGAGAGGTATTTACTAGAAAAAAGTGTAAAACGGCCATTTTGTTGTACTGTTTCCATACTGCAGGTGTAATACCCCATTATCAAACATTAAATGTAGATATTTAGTATTTGATATTTTATACTTTTTTGTTGGACTATATATTTTGAATGTTTAAGTATATAAGGTTGTTTACGCTATTGTTGACGGATTTTGAAGGAAAGATCAGAATATGGCTAAAAGTATACAGATACAGACAGGATGCTCTTCGTTGTAGTTAATTTTACGTGGGACACAAGCATAGCTATCAAACAAGATATTACTTCGGCTCTAAATGCCTTACAGTGACACAAGCATTGGCAATCTATCAAGCTCTTAATCAATTTTTCCCCTATACTGAGGTAAGCTCCCAACCCGAATAATTAACTTGTGTACAATTACTCTACACTGTAATCAAAGCGGAGTTCTGATTCTAACTAATTGTATTTAAGGTTTATAGATTAAAAATTAACCAGTAGACGTAATTACAATTCCTACATCATTATCTATATCACATGATTAAGGCAAATCATATTACGTACTACAGCACAATCAGAAAGAGTCGCAATTTAAGATATACGTCATATATGTCACATGATTGAGCTAAACATGCTACGTATTCATTTAGAATGCAGTTCAAATGAATAAATGGGTTTATATGTACAAACATCGATCATTATTGATGTAAAATGTACTCACGGGCAGAAATAATACATTTGAATTTCCGAGCCGGTTTAACCTATCCGGTCCCAGTTTGTACTGTATCGCCCGGACATTGGGAAAATAAAGCAGACACTCAATAGGACTAGCCACTGCAACTAGGTTGACGCGGTCAAACTTTAGGTTGAATTTACTTTTACTAAAGGGTCAGAGGTGCGTGTACTGCAAATTTTATGGAATATCGTATAACCTGATATTTATTATACAGATAGATCAACTTCTTACTTGCTTTATTGTGCTTCTTAGTAACTTTATATAAATCTTTAATTTCTACCTATCTAACTAACCTTAATTTACATCTTCGTTACTTTATATCTTTTGGAATATCTTTAACTTCTAACTTTCTATAACTTTACGTAGCTTAATTTCTAACTTCGTAACTTTGAACTTGATAACTTTTTAAATATCTTTTATTTCTAACTTTCTACATAACTTTTTTTGGATCTTCATTACTTTATATCGATATAATGATATATCATTAAGAATATTTTCATTTCTCTAACTTCGTGACTTATTTTTCCATTTTTCTAACTTTTCTTACCCCCTTAATTTTAGCTTGATTGTATAGAATCAAAATTTTAAAAAAAAGATTGAATATTTTCTTAGTATATTCATAATCTATAATCATGCAATTTCAAAACTTTGAATAAAATGTTTTATTCATAAAATCATGAATGGTAATTTCTGCGTTTTTAAAATATTATTAAATCATTTTTATTACAATTTTTAATTATTATTATTATTATCATTAATATTATTATTCTAAGTATTATTTTATATAATTTGTATACAACTAAGCTGTATGTTGAAACTAGGGTTTGTATACTGGGCAATAGGATGGGGACTGGCTTATGGAGCAGGTTTCTTCCATCTTTTTATTTAATTGTATTCACATTAATATTAGTTTTTTCCTGCCAAATTTCTTTTTATACTTTTTGTTTCAGGGGGTAATCCATTCTGTGGAGGTTCTCAGTTCTTAAACTATCATCTGGATTATGATTCCTATCCAACTTGGTTTTTTCAGGTAATTTCTTAAAGGGATGTTATTTCTAGCGACTTATCTGATTCACAACGGTACCTTTAATACTCTGTTTGCTCAAGTATCAATTAGAAAGCTTTTTTCTTTAAAAACTGATTATTTTCAATTGTGATTCCTCTTCAAAAGTGATTTGTGTATTGTTGCTACAATGCAGAATTTGATAGAATTAAGCTTAAAATTAAACAACAAAAAAATATTTTTTAAATTTTATTAAAAAGATAAAAGTTTCAAGGCTACCCTTGTAAATCTGCAGACATGTTGCTCTTTTAATAGAGAATAGTTTGAAATAACGTCTTCAGTTCATCTGAAATCTTTAAAAATGAAATTTTCAACTTTTTTATTTTAAAAATTGAGCCAAAATTTTTTAGTGGATTTTCAAATATCAGAAAGAATCATAAAAAGAATTAAAACTAATCGTAACAACTTTTATTTTACTAAAAAATAAAAATTGGAAATGAATAATTTATTTAAATTGATTTTGGTCTGTTTAGTTTGTGTTTGCTGCCAGTGCCGCAACAATAGGCATCATATTTAAAATACCATTTTAAAAACTAAAATTAAATGTGGATTAATTTATAGATTTTCGATCAGTGAAAGTTTGCTTAATTCTTATAGGACTTGGGGTCTGAATTTATGTAAAAATCTTCGGGAAACAATTATATTTTGACAAAAGTTTCCCATAAACAAACGGATGGAACGTATCTTTTGTGAAAAGCGAAATGATTGTTTTGTTAAATACATATGAAGTTAGTTTTTTAAATGATCGTATGTCAAAAGAACCGAACCCTGTCTAAGAATTTGGAAAATAATTCTGTGAAATAAAAGCACAATAAATAAAATTTCTATGCTTGAAAAATCATATTCTTAAATTAACTTTTTTAAGTATAAATATGTTATATTTTATTAAATGTTGAGTTCCAGTGATGATTTCTATTCTAAAGTTTGAAAATGATGAATCCTAGTATCCGGAGCTATTGCTGAACGATGTCAGTTTGGGGCGTACTTTTTATACAGGGAGAACCAGTAAACATAGGAACCACTTTAATATCGTCTTCAATATCGTACTTTCTATACAGGGAGAACCAGTAAACATAGGAACCACTTTAATATCAACTTTCTTCAATATCAACTTCAATATCGATGTTTTAAATTACTGCGGGCGTAATTTTAAGTGACCCTTCATTTAAAAAAGGAACACGACCAATTCACAACCTAACCCTTCTAAACCTTGTCTGATATCGACGACAGAGGAACCCGTGGGCTTATTTCTAAATACATATTTGTTTGAAGATATATATATATAAAGATAAATTTTCAGTTCCAGGCTAAAAACGTATTTTTTTGAACATTCCATTTCCGAAATAGTGATACTTTTTTGATCTTTCAATATCTTAAAGTTTAAATCAAGTTTTCAATTTATATTTCTGTTGTTTTAAGCACTGTTTGCTTGTAAAATTGTTTTGAACCAAATATAAATTTAAATAATAAAGCTTTACAAATGGAAGGTCACATTAACTTACGCTTACAGTCCATCTCATTTTTTTGATGAAACATCTGTATTAATAAAAAGACAACCCCGTGTTTAAATATCAGCACATATCCGTTTGATATTAATTAATTCAAGTTTAAAATATCTACATCCAATGTATCTACATATTCATTAGATACAATACATTTCATATTGCAGCACTACCTACAGAATATCTTCATACAAATCTGTGCATATTTTTAAATTATAAGTTAATTTACTAAAATGGTTCAATCTTGTAAACAATTTTTGTTTTATTCAATAAATTAAAATCTTAATAAAATTCTTGATATATCTGATAATTTTAAATATTATTTTATGAAAAATATTTGTAAAATCAGTTTGCAAAATAAATGCCGTGAAGTATTTCAAAGGTCAAAGACGACTTAATCAAGTCTTTTTTAATTTTTAAGAAATTCCGCTTTATCAAGAATAGCAAATCATTTTTTGTCCCATAAAGCCTACCGTGCCCGTGGACGATCCAAGATTGGTAGGACCTCTTTGCATGGCGATCTTGCCAGGCTACATTTGTAGCATAAAACGTGCTGGGTCGACTCTACACAATTGGTAGTCAAGGCTGGACAGTATCAGTGAGAGCATATACAGCATGTACCAGCTCCGATTGTACAACTTTTACAGCTCTGGGCCTTTATAGAAAATCTTTTAATAAATGTTCACACAAATACCACGTAATATAGTATACTAAAAACGAGTTCTAATCCTATGTTTATTTGTAATTTTTGTACAGTATATTGATTACGGGTTGGGTCTACCCTGTGGTATCTCATTGGACCTGGGATACTGGAGATGAACAGGTTTAATCTTAAAGGGAGTGTTCACTTTTTTAACATCTAACCTAATAACCATTAATGTTTTTTGAGACAAAGTCAAAGAATATCCAAAAACCCAAGTCTAGAAAAAATAAGTTATTGCTCTAAAAAGTTGGGGTACTGTAAAACTTGTTGAACACTCCCTTTATTAATTTAAAGTTCTCTTCGGGGTTATAGTGTCACTCATGAAAGCAAACCATTATTTATTCTTATCCGCACATTTATCATTTTTCATTGATTTATAAGTTTTATCATATAAAATGTATAGTCCTATTGTCAACTATTTCTATACTACAGTAAGAACCAGAAATCCCTAGAATAGGAAGACGAAACTTAGCCTCAAGTTATGATTTTAATTAGTCCATTAGACACAGTAATTTTGTGTTGTAAACAGCCCCCTTTCACTTAATAACAGATTAATAAGTTACTATTAAAACAATTTGCTTATTCATCAATTAGACTTAATATTTGCTTTTTTTTTCGTCTTTCTTATCCACAGTTTTATGGTTCGCACTGTACGTTTATCCAACGCTGCAGTTTTATCCAACATTTTTGGTGTGAGGTTTCTTTTTCATATATTTTGTTTTAAAAATTTTTATTATGGTTCCATTTTTATAAGAATTTACATTTTTTTGGATTAAATTGTGTTTATTTGTTACAGGGTGTTGGACAAGGCTGGTTAAATAGTGTTGAGTATACAGGTAAACTATATCCTATATGATACAGGGTGTTGGACAAGGCTGGTTAAATAGAGTTGAATATACAGGTAAACTATATCCTATATTATACAGGGTGTTGGACAAGGCTGGTTAAATAGAGTTGAGTATAAAGGTAAACTATATCCTATACGATACAGGGTGTTGGACAAGGCTGGTTAAATGAGGATGGTTATTGAGAACGCGCAATTAGGATGTTTATTGAGGACGCACAATGAGGACATACAGTGAGGATGCACAATGATCACGTATATTGAGGACGCACAATGATAATTTATATTGGGGACGTACATTTAGGACGTATATTGAGGACACACAATGAGAATGTATATTGAGGACGCACAATGAGGATGTAAATTGAAGACGCACAATGATCATGTATATTGAGGACGCACAATGATAATGTATATTGAGGACGCACAATGAGGATATATATTGAGGACGCACAATGAGGATGTATATTGAGGACACACAATGAGCGCGTATATCAAGGCCAGACAATGAGCGAACTTATATTGAGGACGCACATTGAGGACGTATATTGAGATGCACAATGAGAACGTATATTGAGGACGCACAATGATCACATATATTGAGAACATACAATGAGTACGTACATTGAGGACGCACAATAAGAACGTATATCAAGGCCACACAATGAAAATCTATATTGAGGACGCACAATGAGCACGTATTTTGAAAACGCACAATGAGAACTTATTTTGAGGACGCACAATGATCACGTATATTAAGGACGCACAATGATCACGTATATTAAGGACGCACAATGAGGATTACATTGAGTACGCACAGTAAGAACTTATATTGAGGATGCACAATGAGCACGTATATTCAGAACGCTCAATGAGGACCGACAGTGAGGACGCACGGTGAGTACGTATATTAAGGACATACATACATACACCCACCTATGCATACCTACACCTAACATACATACATCTATACATACATACATCTCAGCTTTACATATTAGATTATGAACAATGATAATAATATTTTTTAGACTTTGCCGGGTCTGGTGTAGTTCATCTTCTCGGAGCTTCATGTGCCCTGGTTGGATGTTCTTTCATTGGAGCTAGGAAAGGAAGATTTAATGTTAATGGTAAATATTCAATTGTCAAAACATTTTCCACATTTATTCTGTAAATTCAACTTGTAATGAACAGTATTTATTTATTCTTGATTATGAAAACAAAGGTGTAAAGAAGGGTACCATCGTGGATCAAACATGCCAACAAATAAATGGGCGATCATTAAAGATCACGTCTTCCTTTAAGCATTCCAATTTCTTCAGTCTACTGCTGTTGAAATTCTAGAACAGTCCCTTTAACTCACGGGATTATTCTGTAGGCGATATAGTTGAGATGGCCGGTCACTCTGTTCCTCTAGCTGGGCTTGGAGGATTCATTCTACTATTCGGATTTCTAGCCTTCAACGGGGGGTCACAAGTAAACATTTTGTTTATACTTTTCATGCGTGCAGTACATTTTCATCTATGCAGTTCACTTTCATTTGAGCATCACATTTTTATTTATGCAGTACACTTTCATTTTTGCAGTACAATTTTATTTGTACAGTACACTTTTATTTGTGCAGTACACTTTCACTTGTGAAGTACACTTTCATTCGTGAAGTACACTTTCATTTGTAAAGTACATTTTCATTTGTGCATTCACTTTCATCTTTGCAGTACACTTTCATCTGTGCCGTACACTTTTAATCTGTGCAGTATGCTTTCATCTGTGCAGTACACTCTCAGATTTGCTATATACAATTTTATTTGTGCAGACGCAGTACACTTTCATTTGTGGAATACACTTTCATCTGCGCAATACACTTTCATATGTGCAGTACACTTTTTATGTACAGTACACCATCGTCTGTGCATCATCTGTGCAACATTTAAACAAAAAAGCACATTCAAACCTTTAATAAAAGTCATGAATCTGAGCCCACATTTTCCCAACACGATTGTGGTCGACCATATGACGTCTTTAAATGCGTACATTACAAGTACGTATCTATCTATCAGATAAGAATCTGACAAGAACATTTAACGGCTGAATATTCATCCCTAAAAAATGTTAATTTGTCAAATTTTATTCTGAGAAGAACTATTTATGCATTTACCAGTGTCGTCAGACGTAACGTATTCCAATCCATGGCTACAGTTCAACCAGACTTTAAATAGTCCAATAAACATGAGACACAAAAATTGTGCAGAACAGACCCATTTCACCTAATAACTGATTTAATGGTTACTGGTAAAACTATAAACGCTTAATGCCGTCTTCCTATTCCTCAGTTTCTGGTTCTAACTAAATACAATTTAAATTATTTCTTTTAGGGTTCAATATCTCGACCTGGGGACGGAGCTGCAGGAAAAATTTCCTCATTATTTTTCAACCAATATTTTTTTCTTCAAAATAAATCAATAATTTTTGAGAATAAAAGAATTGCATTTTTCCTTAAAGATAGGTGCAACAGATAAGAACCCGTTTTAATTATCTTCCCACGAAAAAAAGTGTTGCTATATAAACTTTACAGTAGTTCAGGGTTAAATTGACATGCTTAAAGAGCAGAGGGTTTTAGTTTTTCAGTAATTCGAACAAAAATACTTATATTTTTTCAATCTATTTTAAACGAAAACTAAATTTTCACAATCTGAAGCAAAAATATTTCTTAGACTTTTCAATTGATTTAAATCGGAAAGTTCCTCTTTTATTTTATCGGAAACAATGTGTTTCAAATACTTTCTCTAGATTTTCCGTAAAAATCCTCGAGTTTCGTTCTAGAAAGCTCGATTTAACACGGCACCCTTAAAAGCTTGATCAGACCAAGTCTGAATTAGATGTTTTATATATTTGAACTGTTTATTTAGATTTGTGATTTCTCTGCAAAAGTGACATGCACAATTCTTGCTGATAAGAAATCATGGAAAAGTTTACAGAAATAAACTTGTTCGAGTTATAAAAACGACGTTATCTTCCACATTTTTGATCAGATAAAGGTTTCAAGGGTACAATTGTAAATTGGGCATTACTCTAATTGTACGGAGGGTCACTTGAAATTACGCTTACAGTCTCTTTAACTAAGAATATGAGCTTGAGAAAAGATCCATTTTAGTCGCTCTGTCCATTGTTAACACCATCCTTGGAGCTTGCTCTGGGGGACTTTGTGTTCTTTTATTTAACAGGTAAACAAGATATCTTAAAGGGAGTGTTTTTAATTTTTAAAGAGGGATTTATACAGGGTGCCCCACGAAATATGACAGTTGGTGAATGGTTTAAAATGTCTTCTTGTTAAGTTGTTTGATACCAAAGAGAATAATAAAAAAATATTGTATGGGGGGAGTCATCTTATGCAGTAAAATTAATTTCAACGTAAAATATATTTGAGTAAAAGATCTTTTTAACAAAATGAACTACAAAAAGTTTTATTAACTAATACAGCATATGGAAGAAGACACTCAAAACTACTCACCAACTTCCATGTTTCGTGGAACACCCTGTATGTTACGCACTCTTGTTTCATCTCTCCAGTAGCGTCTAATCAAATCAGAGCTCAACCAGGTGCTTTGTAAGTATTCAGAACCAATAGTGATTGCAACGGCAGCAATTCATTCCAATTACTGATCCACATATGTAAATTAGCGGCAAAGACTACCAGGAATTCTTTAAAAGGGTGCTATACGTCGTACGATCATAGATTAACACAAATTTATTTATATCAAGATCTTTAAAACTGTAAGAGTATATAGGGGAGATATGATGAAAAAAGCCCCCCTTCCCCCCCCTGGAAAAGGGATAACTATTTATTATTTATAAGTGGGTAATTCCGCCCTGCACCCTGAAATGTTAAAAATGTTAACCCCCCACCCCCTTGACAAATTTCTGTATACGCCTCTAATAATTCCATCAGCAGTTGCGCAAATTAGCTCTCTAAATATATAAACCATACAGTGTGTTTCATTAAACATGACAATTTCTTGCAAATCAGAGAACAATTTGTCCCTCAATAAATTGCAGTTATTAATTAATCATTCATAAGCCCTATTTTGTCGGTATGATTCTTAAAACAATAATAATACTATATAATCCAAGTCGTGGGATTTTCAAAATGTGGTCTGACTTTCCTGCGCTTTGAAAATTAATTTTTATTTATTAAATAGAGCCAAATATGATTAAGATATCAAAGTAGAAATATATCAATGTAATTTATCAGATTTCTGCTGAGACAGCCCTGGTCTTTCTTGATGACGTTGAATGGATCTTTGGCAGGTAGTGCACAAATATTGATGGAATAAATATTAGGTTGATTAACAATTCGGAGATGTTAAGTATTTTCCCAAAGGCATTTTCTCAAGGGTGACTGATATCCCAACTGACATTCTTCCAAGAGGCGACTTCCCAAATGTACAATTTCCCAAGCGGCAACTTCCCAAAGTTTAGGTTAGGCTTCTAAGCGCCGCAGGCTGCAATTGGGCTCGACAACATTCCGTTAACGAGCGGCTAGATTTTATAAATTAACGAGAAAATATCTTACGCTACTAATAAAATTAAGATAGTTAACGAACGGAAACTTTGAGAAAGAATGGAAAAACGGAACGAATGGCTACCAGAAAAGTTTCTGAACAATTTTAACTAATTGTTCATGAACAATTTAACTAATCGTTTAAGAACGATTTTAACTAATCGTTTAAGAACGATTTTAAGTAATCGTTTAAGAACGATTTTAAGTAATCGTTCATGAACAATTTTAACTAATCGTTCATGAACAATTTTAGCTAATCGTTCATGAACAATTTTAACTAATCGTTTACGAACGATTTTAAATAATCATTCATGAACAATTTTAACTACTCGTTCATGAACGATTTTAACTAATCGTTTACGAACGATTTTAACTAATATTTCACGAACGGTTTTAACTAATCGTTTGCGAACGATTTTAACTAATCGTTCATGAACGATTTTAACTAATTGTTTACGAACGATTTCAACTAATCGTTCATGAACGGCTTGAAAAAAGTCTGAACGTACCCAGCCCTACCCTTCAAGCGTCCTTGACTTCTAGAAATGAGTGTGGTTAAGTAAATGATTGTGGGAGGGTAAAACAAAATAGAAAACCTGCGTCAATTAAAAGGATATGATTATGATATGAATGTGATGCATGAATTTCTGAAATGTCCGGATCCCTGTGAAGAGGGGCATATCCGATTCACAATTCTACCCTTTATAGCTTTATAGTTTATATGATCAATAACGTGGAAGATATCTAGCTTTACAAGAGTTTAATTCAGCCAAATTCCTTCAATGTTTAGGGGGCAAAAATCCGCAATAAGGAATGATCATTTAATCAAATTGTTATTTGATTCATTCACCACACGGAGCTTTTCAGGATTTCACTGTGATCAGGCATGTCGCTAATAATGCAGGCTCACTTAGAATATATATGAATAAAATATCCCCCTTGAAATTACTATCTAGGTATGGTGGCAATGTGTGCGGGTTGTAATGTTTATGAGCCTTGGGCTGCTCTAGTTATTGGTACAGGAGCAGGAGTATCCTTCATCACTATTCATTTTATCATGCTTAAACTTCAGGTTCATTTTATTCTACTTTGATTTTATCCTGCTTAAACTTCAGGTTAATTTTATCCTGCTTGAACTTCAGGTTTATTTCATCCTGCTTGAACTTCAGGTTTATTTTATCCTGCTTAAACTTCAGGTTTATTTTATTCTAATTTGATTTTATCCTGATTAAACTTCAGGTTTATTTTATCCTGCTTGAACTTCAGGTTTATTTTATCCTGCTTAAACATCAAGTTTATCTTATTCTTATTTGATTTTATCCTGATTAAACTTCAGGTTTATTTTATCCTGCTTGAACTTCAGGTTTATTTTATCCTGCTTAAACATCAAGTTTATTTTATTCTACTTTGATTTTATCCTGCTTAAACTTCAGGTTTATATTATCCTGCTTAAAACTCAGGCTCATATTGTCATGCTTAAACTTTAGGTTCATTTTATCCTGCTTAAACTTCAGGTTCAATTTATGCTGCTTAAGCTTTAGGTTTTTTATTCTGCTTAAACTTCAGGTTCATTTTATGCTGCTTAAACTTTAGGTTTTTTATTCTGCTTAAACTTCAGGTTTATTTTATCCTGCGTTCATTTTATCCTGCTGAAACTTCAGGTTTATATTATCCTGCTTTAAACTCATGCTCATATTATAATGCTTAAACTTTAGGTTCATTTTATCCTGCTTAAACTTCAGGTTCATTTTATCCTGCTTAAACTTTAGGTTTTTTATTCTGCTTAAACATCAGGTTTATTTTATCCTGCTTAAACATCAGAATCATTTTATCCTACTTAAACTTCAGTTTCATTTTATCCTGCTTATTTTTCCGGTTTATTTTATCCTTCTTAAACTTCAGGTTTATTTTATCCTGCTTAAACTTCAGGTTCATATTATCATGCTTAAACTTTAGGTTCATTTTGTCCTTCTTAAATTTCAAGTCCATTTTATCCTGCTTAAACTTTGCAGGTTCATTTTATCGTGCTTAAACTTCAGGTTTATTTTATCCTGCTTAAACTTCAGGTTTATTTTATCCTGCTTAAACTTCAGGTTCATTTTATTCTGCTTAAACTTCAGGTCCATTTGGTATTCACTATGTTTAAAGAATAGAAAATTTACTATTTCAACTTTAATTAAAATAATTCAAGTTTATCTTTAAACAATCATTTAACTGATGTTGTTCTACAGCTGGATGATCCTCTCGATGCTGTTGCAGTACACGGTGGTGGAGGTCTTTGGGGACTTGTGTCAGTACCGTTCTTTATGTACGCTAACCTGGAGGTGAATTTTATACAGGGTGACCCACAATGAATAAACCTGTAAAGACGACCGAAAAATTTAAAAAGGGTAAGCGTGGTATATTCTGGGATGGACACACCTCCTACCCTTGGATAGTTCTAGGATACAACTTACTAGGAGCTCTGTGTATATTTGTTTGGTAATGATTAAGGCGCAACTAAGGAGTGAGGAAGGGAGGGGTCGAGAATAATGAACGTTGTTTCTGGTTCTACAGTTGGACCACACACAACTGTAGACTAGGAAGACGATGTTAAAGCAACATATTCTACATTTAATGTGGATATAAAGAAAATAATTTTACCTTGCAGCTTGAAAATCAAATTGTAAATTATTGACGATATATGTAAAAAATTACTATTTTGTATTTTTTTATATCATAATTCCATATTTATATGTTATATATCTCAATTCTCGTGGAACCTTTACTCTTTCCTGAACCTTGAGAGAATAATTGCGGAACCTTACTTGAACCAGATTAAGACTAAAAGTACAATAGGTGGCAACAGAGAGATGAACCAATTATACACAACGTCACAAGTGTCAAATGCAAGGATGTAATGCAAGGAAAGTTAATTGCAGTTGAGTATACTCTGCTTACATATTGAAACCAGTGTTCTTTGGGAGGAATTTGTAAACAAGAATAGATGCATCAGTTTTCGTTTAGTATCCGAGGAGGTTAAAAGCATTGAATTTTGATAATTTTGATAATTCTCATAATATTTTCCTATGACATATTTCATTATTATTATTATTATGTGAAAGATGGATCCTATGTCAGACTTCGACATCCGTCTTGTGTTTACATTACCGCCCAGTGACAGTACACTGCAGTACAAAAGATGCGTACACCTCTGAAATAACTTTCCTTGCATTAAATCCTTGGTCAAATGTAACAACGAAACGAAATTTTCTCACAATAGTTGATATATTTTCCAAGATTAAATAAAAAAGTGTAAAAACATAAACTAAAGAACACATTTTACTGTAAGATAAGCACTTTATTCTAAAATTATTAATAATTTTGTTGGACACACAAGCTGAGTTAAATACAGCTGTACTGCGAGTGTGCAAAATCTACGTTGCCATCTATTGTAATAGAAACTATTTGCTACCACCTAGATGCTACACAAAGCTAGGTTTTACATGGTAAACAGGTTTAGGATCAATTCCATAGAAAATAATCGTCCCGTAAATTTTTTCAGCATATTACAATTCTCTCTGTACGTTGTGTTGTATCTGGAAGTAGATTTATTTGTAAAATAAGTTACAAAAGGTTCCAAAGTTCATTTCCAAACGTTCGTTTAATGGTTTCACTGCAAACCAAGACGTGCACGCTGTAACACAAAATCAAGCTTTATTTTGCCAATTAAACTTAAACTAGAAAAAAATCACATTACATTTTGAAATGTATATGTCTAGGGCTACAGAAAAAAAAACTATAAGGGAGTTTCTGAGGTACAACAAAAAGCCAAGGCTTAATTTCTAAAAATTGATGACTAAGTTTCAGAGTTGTCTTACATCTTTGTGGTTTATGATTATCAACAGCTTATACAGAGCGTTCCTTATCATATTAGATTATCTCCAATCTTAAAAGCCAAAATAATACTCGAAAAATACAGGATTTTCTGCAAAAAAATTTCTTAGTCTTATTTAATTTTTCAAAATGATTCATTCTTCTTAAATTTTCTGATTTGTCCCCCAAATCGTAATTTAGACCCATTGACGCGGTCTAATTTGATGTGGGACACGTTGTTCGTAACCAAACTTATCTATACAAATTGGAAACCCGACACTAAAACTAAAATCTGAATCAAGCAATTTTTAATAAAAAAAAATATATGAATTCCAGGGCGGCCTTCTGGAGTATTCTGATATTCGGAGGAGCTCGAGTACTTGGATGGTTGAGAGTAAGTGAGGAACTAGAACTTAAAGGAATGGATATTGATAAACACGGAGAAGCAGCATATCCTGCCCAGGTAATGTTTAGGGTTTCCAACGCAAGTGCAATGGCGAGCCCTGTGGTATTATCCCAGTTAAAACAGTTAACAATTAAAACTTACAATCTGGGGAATTCCAAAATGTGTTTTACAATTTTTGCAGCTTCATTATTGATATTAAAAAATCTATCCAGACTCCAATTTAAAACAACAAAATCTTCTAAATGTTAAATATATCCGTCAACTTTGAAGATAAAAAGAAGGCAAACCACATTTTAAAAAGTTCATAAGACGTACAACTTTTATTTTAATACATTCTTTGTCATTTAACAGCAATCAGAAATCATAGGCGATTTTCAAGTCGTATCTTAATTCCCATGTTTATTGGGACACCATCTTCCGTTAACGAACCAAGGGCATATACAGAGAATTTTCTAATCCCTATATCTTTACAGCCTAAGCTTGAAATATCAAAGGTTTAAACCATTAAGTTGCAAATATATATGGGATTAGAAAATCAAAGACTTACTTCTTTTAAATAATTAATATGTTCCTTTTTTAAAGAGATTTTTTGTCCACAGGACATGATCGGGTTGTTACGACCAATTCTTAGATTTTTTTCTATTGCGAAAGTTTTTTTTTATTAATCTGCCAGGGATTGTTATTTGGCAGCACATTCAACCATCCACGCTTCCTTCATACTGAGAAGAGGCCTGACAAGAATCCATCTGCCTAAGGGCTGCTTAGACCTGAGAATAGAAGGTCCCAATAAACATTGGAATTGAGAGGCGGCACTAAAATCGTCTTTTATTTCTGCTTTAATACATGGCAAAGAAAGTAAAAAACAAGGCTGTATGTCTGACGAGCTTTTTATACAGTGGTCTATATATACCTTTCTTGTATCTTAGAAATTGACGAAGATATTAGATTTTAAGACAATCTTGATTTATTACAGTGAAACCCTTAATAACGAATACATCGGAAGAATTTATCAAATGTCGTCTTGACAATTTTTCAATGAGTTTTATACTATATGACGTAAATTTCAGTATTTGCGAAAATAAATAAATAGCCATGAATATGCGGGAACAGTTTTAAAGAGTTCCATATAATCATTTAATTAAAAAACTAAATATCTGCAACATTCCATTATCAGAAAGTGAAGAATACGACATTTGATGAATTCTTTCGATGTATTCGTTATTAAGGGTTTCACTGTAAATAAGTTGAAATTTTGCAATATCTCTATTAAGATACAAAAATGTTAGGCGGACCACATTTTGAAAATATCAAGACCAGGCGTTTGTTTTTTAAGCTGGAATACTGCAATAATTATGTTCATGAAAAAATACAGTATTGATCGAAGACGATATACAATTTGTCACTGAATTCCCATGTTTATTGGGAAACTCTGTATTTAGGCCTGGGTAGAAGTTCAGTACAAACCTAAACCAGGAATAGAAGACAGTACTCCACAGTACATGGCCTTTGCTATAGGTAAAATTTAAAACTTTTTTAAATTTTTTTAAACAACATTATTTACATTTTACTTCAGAGAAGGATTGTAACCCTACAGCAGCAATTCAGTATAATCTAGGTGAGGACATACTGTGGATATTGTGATAAAACTAAGGATAGGTGGATAGCGTTTCTCGTCCGAGCAACATTCTTCTCATTTTTTTCGTCAGAGCCACATTGGACTACACTTAAAATTATTTCTATAATTATTGCAATGATTACATGTTGGGATCTTCAAACGCATGAGAACTTTATTTAGGTTAAAAATTGACCTCCCCCTATTATTTTAAAACGATTACCAATTTCTGAAAGATCAAGAAAAGTTCCTGAATTTTTTCGAAACTTTATAAACGTGTTTTTCTGCGTGTTGATATTTTTGGAGAATTTATTATATTCTGACCCAGGGTTAGTAAAATGTAAACAACTTTTATCCACCTCTACTTGCAATTGCATCTATGTTCGGAGAAAAATTAGAAAAAAAATTGTTTAGAATTGAGCTTGCTGGATGGGAAAGGAAATGCTGGAGTAGAGGAGAAGAAACATGGCAATGTTAATCACACCTTTCAATCTTAAAACAACTGTATAAGAGTTAGTTGAAGTGAACCTCCAACCTCCATGCTAAGGTGGCAACGTCCGATTCACAAGGGTACCCTGTAAAGCGTTGTCTGATCAAGTATGATTTAGATATTAATGTTTATAACTTTGAAATTTTGAAAAACTTTAAGTAATTAGGAGAATGAAACACTTTTAAACCTGGAAAACACAGTATTGATCAGATTAAGGTTTCAAGGTTACCGTTGTGACTTGTGAATCAGGCATTGTCATATTTAAATTAGAGTGTCACTTGAAATTACGTGTATAGTCCTTTGAAATTAATTAATGAAGGTGTACGGGGGTATTTACATACTCTGGAAAAACAGTATTTTATTTCAACATATTCAAAACTATTTTTAGTCTTTAACAAAGATGCAACGGGGGGTGTGGGCTGCAGACAGAAATTTTTTTGTTGTACTTTGTGCATTTAAAAAAAATAAATTTTATTGATTTTGATCCAGTTCAATATGTTTTTTTCCAAAACACTTTGCTAATCATAAAGCGTAAACCTTTATGTTTTATGATTTATGTTTAGATATTTTTAATGTTGGAAAAGCCCACAAATCAAAATATTGTATTTTGTAACATAATATGAAAATAGCGATTAAAAATCAAGGAAATAAGGAAAATAAATTTAAGTTATGAAAGTAAGAAAAGAAAATTGTCTTCGAATAAACTGCGCGTAAGATTTAAATTTTAATAAAAAGCAATTGAGAATAATAAATGTTACGCATAGGAGCTATACGAGGTCATAAAGTCACCAGTAATGTCGCAAAATTTGACCTTCTCCTTGTTTGCAGTATCAATTACGTATATATTTATTCATTATCTAAAATTAAAACAAGACATTCGTATACATCTATAGCCGGCCAAACGGATAGACCGAATGGGCTAACATTTTTTGAGGGAACCCATTGGTACCACGTCGTTAACACAGGCTAAAATAGTCAAAAAAAATGTTTCTCCAAAATTCAACTGTAAAAAAAAGCTATGAAATAAGTGTCACAACGACGGTATTAATTCATTTTTGTTACTTAGATAAAGGTTTGAAAGGATATGTAACTTTTCAGAGCACTGTAATTTATAAGGTTTCACGCTCTCAAGCAAAAATCGATGAGAATTTTGCCAATTACTTCTTAAATACCAAAGCTAACAACAAGGGCTGTTAAGTGCCAATGTGATGTAAATGACTACAGAAAAGCATAAATCAGTTGAAGCAGTGAAAAAAAGCCCAAGGCGTTGCGACACTTGAATGTCGACCCTGTCTAGAGTCATTTGAAATTATGTCGATACCACTGAAAATTCCGGTCCCTTTGAAGTACCGGTCTGACTTTTAGGCCGCTTTCGGGTAAGTTGTACAGTATACGTACAGCTTTTAGACGGCAAAACGGGATAGTACACTGAATTAATCATCTCTTTAATTGTGAGATTATTGTGATAGGTTCTTTATGTACGTTCTGCATTTTTATTATTTTTATTTTAGTGGGTTGCATTCAACAATTTTGCATATATTTATATTTTAAAGCAAAACTAGATTCCACTCTATTGCAGTTCTATTTGAAATTTATTATGATTGAATTTAATAACCCTTTGATCATAATAGCATCAAATATAAACCGAACTTTAAATATTTTAAGAATAATTTATTTTCACAAAATAATTAATGAATTAATGAAGGGATGAGAATCAGAGATTTTCAGTTTTGTTTTACTTTTATGTAACCATTTCAGGCGTTAGTGTGCACACCACTCAAATATTAGGTCTTTTAGATTTATGAAATTTTACAAAAATCTGATCATTTAATTTTTTTCCTTAATCAGATATTGGCTAATTCACAGTGAGAACTTAATCTGATGTATACACCCAAGAAAAATAAATGCTAAAGCAAACATTGGCTTGGTTTGTAGGATATTTAGCTCCATGGTCTCATAAAGAAATATATGTAAAACACATGTAAGCTTCTCCCATGGTCAGATTTAGAGATAGAGTTTTCAAAACATCTATTGATTATAGATCTACTTTCGTAGTCAGCCCTAGAATTAAAATTCATTATCGGCTTTAGACGGGTGAATACTATACATATACATCCTAGCTCTATTTTGAATTAAGAAACTAGTAAGTTTAGGATCAAATGATTCAGGCAGAGAAAATTTAAGATAGTTGGTAACACTCTCTTTCAAAAGTACCTAAAATGATCATCCTAGGCTGATCTATAAATTATCTTAAAATCATAATAAACAGATTTGATAATTCGTTTATTAAATGCTCCTGCTGTGTTTTTACTATTTTCTACAAAATCGACCCTTTTCAGGCTAAAAATATGAAAATAATTTTTATCTTTGCCTCTCATTCAAAAACCTAAAAAGATATATGCTGATCGAAATGAAGAATTTCTTTATCATAACTTTAAACGTTTTAAAAACGTTTTAAAAGATCTAGCACTAAAGCTGACCGTGGGAGAAGCTGAAATGTCCTTTTTGTACATATTTCTATTTGTACATAAAGCTATATAACCTACAAGTCAAGCCAATTTTGGCATTTATTTTTTAAAAATTTGTAAAAAAAATTCTGAACCTTGTATCTTTGCAACCTAATGTCAAAGCTACCTTCGACATTTCTAACTATGAATCTTCTAACTTGCCACATACTTGGCTAAAATCCTCTACAGTATTTTGCCAACTACTCATTTTAAACGTAGACGTTGATAAGTACAGGAGAGCAGTTATGGATTTAAGGCCGGAATAAAGCAGAGAAATTGCTAAGTGGACGTTGATTTTGATAAGTGCCCGAGAGCGGTCATGTAAGGATTATAGAGCAGAGAAATTGCAAGAGTAGACGTTGATAAATTGTACAGGAGAGCAGTTATGAATGTAAGGAATATAGTGCCTAGAGAAATTGCTGGAGTAGACGTTGACTTTGATATGTGCAGGAGAGCAGTTATGGAATGGATGTAAGGAATACAGAGCAGAGAAATTGCAAGAGTAGACGTTGATATATTGTTCATACAGGAGATCAGTTATGGGTGTAAGGTATATAGAGAAATGTATTGCGAATAGGGTTTCCAGCCAACTGCAACAAAGCGTTTTACGAAAAATGCAAAAATTTTCGGTCACATTTCGCGAAAAAGAATTTTGCGAAAATACAAAATGCGAAATATTTTCGCGAAATACGAAATGTTCTCGAAATGTACGATGTCTCCTGGTTGTTCTTAAATCTATTTTTACATTTTGTGGTAATCCATCATTTGGGCTCGCGGATAAATCCCTTTTTGAAAATGAGTCTTGTTTTCCCAAAGTTTAGTCTTTTTTGATGAATTTTTGCAACTTTTTTACTAAAATTTTGCATTTGATTTAAAAAATTGTGTATTTTTCGGGAAATTTTGCATAATTTTCATTTTTTTCGCGAAATTTCTGCATTTTTTTTATTTCTTGAAATTTTCGCATTTTTTGGGAGCGAACGAAATGCGAAAATGAAGCGAAATGGTCGCGAAAAAAAAATTTCGCGAAATATCCGAAATATTAATATATCTCATTTCTCGTTGATTTTAAATTGTACCATTATAATTGTGTACGAATAAATAAATAAATAAATAAATAAAAATAAGCCATAAGAGTTATTGTAGAAATTGTATTGTAAACATTTCATGTAAAAAAGTTCCAAACTGAATTGTATTGTGTTGAGATATCAAAGGTTTACACCATTCGGTGCACAGATTTAGGGATTAGAATATTTGAGTTTGTGGCAAAAACATTCTGAGACTGAACCTGGCAAAAATCAAACTGATTATCAAATTTGATGACTGTAACCTGTTTATCTTCTTTGAAAGAACTTCTATAAAATCGAAAATGAAATAAGATTATGAATACGTTGGTTAGAATGATCAATCATAATTTCAAAAACTCTAGGAGAAAACGAAACATTATCTGTCCTTTTTCAATGTAGATGATTAAAATTATATATGATGTTTTTTTTTCAGAATATAGGAGCACCGGACCCATGCAATATCCAGCAGGATTAAAATCCTGCTGAATATGTTGTCACAGACCATGGTGCCGGTGCTCCTTCGCCTGGACGCATCAAATAGCAGTTTTTTCTAACCTCGTAAAGTCTTATTTATAACTTTATTGTAAAAAGGGTTTTTTAGAAAATGAAAATAAATATACAAGTCCTAGTAAAATAAATTAAATGTTGGAAAAGTAAATTTTTTGAGTTTACAATGATGTCTAGTTTGCATATATAATTTTATTAAATTAAAATTCTATATTTAGGATCAGAGAACAACTCAAAACAAGGAAAACCAATTTACTGAATATGTTAATTTCGTTATTTTTTCGAGTTTTAAAAAATCTAACTCCCCACACAACAGGATGGCCATTCTAGGTATTGATGGATCGAGTCAAATTAAGACACTATAATCAGTTAAAAGAGATGCTTATAAAACCATAAATATTTTTTTTAAAAAGTGGTTAACTGCAGCAAGTTGGTTTTCGTAATTGATGGAGAGTGGGAGCATTTGTCTGATAGTTCACAGACTATGTCTGAGACACGCTTGGACTGAAAGATGGAGCCATTAAATGTATCCAGAAGAAATTCTGTGTCTATACATTCTTTGGAATGTATAATTTATCCAAAGAAATATATAAATGATTATTTCTTGTAATTATATCTGTAATTAAACCAGGTACTTTACAAATTTTATTTGGCGCTCCGCCCACACATTAAAAGATTTGATTGACTCATATCGTTAATTTTACAGTTGTTGAAAGTATAAATTTTTAAAACACAAGAAAAAACGATTTGAAATTTGAATTGAAAACTGCCAAATCTGCATGCAACAACTGAATTTCCGTTTTTTCGACATCAAACCCTTCAAAAAGAACTTTTATTTTGAAAAAAAAAATTATAAACCGGGGGGGGCAAGCCCACCCTTAACCCCCCCCCCACCGGACCATTACAAAATAATATTCCCCCCCCCCCCTAGCAAAAGTACTTGTTGCGCCTCTGCTTCAGAGGGTCAATTATACTGATCATTAATCAATTTAGTGCTACATTCCTCTTATTGGTATTAATTGATCGGAAATGATCCAGATTTTAAAAATGTACGATCTTTAAAAATTTAACCATTGTGAGTGCTACAATTTTGTCTGGAAGGTTTTTTGGAACCCCTGTTTGCACGTCATGATTGGGCGTGCCGGGTGTGCATGTGAATATACGCCACGGTGAAATTAGGTTATAAAGGAAGGAGGACTACTATGCTAAGGAAATGTGCTTTATGATACAAAGCCCTTCCCCCCCCCCTCCCATGATTGATAAAGGGGGGCGTCAATATGTGTAATGTACGTGCCCGTGAAAAGATTATAACAAACATCCTTTCATTCCCTTCAATGCAACCAAACAGGTTAATTCTTATAGAAATCAACGTTATAGTGTAATATTGCAGTTGTTTTCGTAAAATACGTTTTTTAAAATACTTGACAATTGCAACTGTACAATTTAATTATCATGCTTAAAAATAATCCTAACTCGGTTTAGAACTATTAAACCAAGCCAATACCAATTTAACAAATTCCCTTGGTTCATATAGCCGATTTCCCAAATCAAAATAATTGAGGCAAATCGGCTTCCAGGGGTTAAGATGAGCTGCTCGGAGCCTCGGACTTACAAACAAACGAACTGAAAATCAGATCTGAGACTGATTACGCCAAGAATGTAATGTAAGGAGAGTTAATTGCAGTTGCGTATACTCTGCGTACATATTGAAACCAGTTCTTTCTGGGCGGAATTTGTAAACAAGAATTATAGATGCCTCAGTGTTCGTTAGTATCTGAGGAGGTTAAAAGCATTTTGATAACAATTACATAATAGTTTCCCATGACCAGAATATTTCATTGAATTATGTGTAAGATGGATCCCATGTCAGGCTTTGACATCCGTCGAAATTGTGTTTACATTACCGCCCAGTGACAGTACACTGCAGTACAAAAGATGCGTACACGTACCTCTGAAATAACTTTCGTTGCATTAAATACCTGGATTACGCAATTTAAAATACGCATTTAAATAAAATTATTTCAGTTTTTTAACTATTAACAATTTTATTAAAAAAGATCTATCGTACTATCAAAACAAATTTTTCACGTCTCACGATGATGTTGTCAATTTTTTTAACAACTTTTGTTTGTTAGTTTTTACTTTGTCATAATTATTTTCTCTGACGGTATTAATCCGTTGTGTATTTTCCCAGAGTGTTTGTTTTGATGTGACGAGTTTGCGCCTGCGCAGAACATTCTGTGGGAAAGTTGCCTTCTTTAACCCGCATGTTATTCCCTATCACGTGGAGAAACCCCTCTGTGATTATTCAGTGATGTTGGTGGATTTTCGAGCTGTCAACAATCATAACTAAGTTGTGAAGTTTGGGTGAGTAATTGTGACAATTTTTCATTTCCTTTAAGCAATGTTATTCAATTGTTTTTGTTTTGAAAATGGTTCTAAGAAATGGCGTGTTGTTTATTTTCATTTTGCTATGAGTAGACCAGTCGACCACGGTTCAGTTAGCAAAATCGATTAGAACTTTCCGATTAAATAATACAATATAATAATATATATAATAATGTATTTAGTCAGGTGAAAAGTCATATTTTTACTAATGCATTTTTGGTACGTTTATTACGCTGCATAAGAAAATAAATAAATTCTAGTGGAAAATGATATTCATGGGAAACCTAGAGCATTTTTTGCCATCCCATCCACTACCTTCTAAACTATCACTTTCTCTTTCTTTGCCTAGCTGCATACATCTTTGCACTATACCTTCTTGCCTTACTTTCGCCTTTAGCTTCCTCCTTTCTTCTTCCTTATACCTTCCCATTTCATTTCCCCTATTTCCCTTCCCCCCCCCCTTCACACCCCAGAAAATCTATCCCTGCTTTTTTAGTTTCAACCCTATACTTGCTAAGATATAGTGTATTAAAGGGAGTGACCGGCAATGTTTGTTAGTTGAATTGAGAATGATATTGTTGAGATTTATTTTAGGATTCATTCGAGACATATAAAACGTTTTAATGATATATATTTACAGAAATTGAGCGCAAAGTCGACATTTAAAATCATCTATTTGGGTGGTTACATTTCGAGATTATTCAATTTAAAAAAAATATTAAAGAAAGGGGACGAAAAATGTATGAAAAATTCGACATTAAACTAATTTGACATTAAGGAACATATTTCTCAATAGAAATTTGTCAAAAAAAGTCAATGTTAAAAATAATTATTTCTTTTTCATCATTATATTGAATTTCTCTTCTTTACATATTTTTTGGCAGATTTCTATAAAGTCTTTAAATTTCATCTTTTCAATAAGAATTCCAGAAAATCTACAGAAAATGTTTGTAAACAATGAGAGATTACAGAAACTAATAACTGAATAAGATTACTTATTTTCGATGATCAGAGTTAATTTTTATTTTCTTAACCTGTTCCTAAACAACTAGTTTGTTTACAGTTATTGTCGTCATTTAATAATTCTAAAAAAATCGATTCTCAAAACGTAACCACTCAAATGGATGATTTTGAAAGTTGACTTTGCGCTCAAACTCGGAAGTATATTTAAGGTGATGATGAAGGACCAAACCTCTGTAGAGCATAAAAGTAGATGTTAGTTCCACATTTTATCGAAAATATATTTCGGTTGGGGTTGCCTCTTGTCAGTTCTTGAGATTGTTTCAGTCAGGAAGATTAAAATCAAACCATCAATAAAACGTTTTATATGTGAATCCTAAAAAATTTCTTCACAAAACTACAATCTCAGTTCAATTGACATACATTGCCAGTCACTTCCTTTATGAACACTTGCCACAAATTATAATAATTCATAATTCCTACATGTTACCAATCTGATGTTCATCAAGTTGATATTTTGACAAGAAAATTACTTCATGATACTAATCCTGTATTAGGACCCGGAAAACTGAGAAATTTTAGCTTTTTATTTTTTATTTTTGATGTTATTAAGAAAATTGTTTTTCCATATTGGCCTTAAAATCAGCAAATTCAGTTAAGTGGGTCAGTGTACGTACGGTGCTTAATTACTGTGGTTCTTGTTCACTGGACATTCAATATCATAACTTCTGTCTCAAAGTGGTCTTACTAATCCAATGTATTTTGGGTTTCACAATATAATATGAACACAAATCTTGGATGATGAACCACATGGTTGCACACCTCTTGTTTAAAAACTATTTTTTCTTGAAATTATCCCTGGAGTTTTTTTTTATATATAAATCGAAAAGTTTTGGTGTCATTTTTTTTTATTTTTTCTAACTAACACATGCCACTCTTTTATACCTACTGTCTGAGCCGTCAAGACATACTGCCTGAATCCCTTATTTTACCTTTACCAGACTAGAGCAATATAAGACCTACTTTCGGTCTTGGATTTCAATATTTTATAGCTCTTTGGAAAGCTTTAAGAAAAAGGAAGCATATTCCACATTTTTTGCAAAGAAATTTTGCATAGCTTTTTGCACAAATGCTTTTGAAATATTATATACAATGTATAATATTTGAATTCGCTTTGTGAAGACCTTTTCAAAAATGTACATTATTTATTATATATTATGTTATATTGCATTAAATATTTGAAGATTTGCAAAACATTTTTACAGATTATTTAATCAAAGCCCAAGGGCTTTCCAAAAGTATATCAAATGCTATAGGCTTACATAGTTGATAATTAAGGCAGTTAGAAAGAAACTAGTTTAGATCCTCATGAGACATGAGACTTTTGCATTAGGGGAGAATAAAGAGAACTGAGAACTAATGATTAAACTAACTGACTTCAGAGGGTAATACAGAACCATTACAAATGGATACATCTATATACATATACAGTCCTTGAATTGAGACAGTGGGATATAAGTGGGCACAATTCAAGGGCCAAGGGGGCAAAAATTATACTTCTTCTGACTAAAATCCTGTGTTCGCGCCTGTATTACCGGAATTACCGTGTATCTGTGAAACGATCAAAACGAAGAAATGCTCGAAAACACAATGCAGAAAATCTGCAGGATCATTTTAGAAATAAAAAGTTCAAGCTCGTTAAAGTGGATCAAACTAATTTTTCAAAATTAATTTGATCAAAATTGAAATCTACAGCTTCTAATCTTTTCTAACTTAAGTACGATTATATTAATTAGTCAAGAAATATACCATTGCATTTATAAATATCGTCTTGAACCTTCTTGTTTTTAAGCTTTCTGTTCATCAGCTGTTTTATTTCAGGTTTGTTGTGCTAACTCTACCGCGGTGTCGGTCCGGCACTGCTGCTGCCACCAACACTCCACAGTAAACACGGGATTGTATAACAGAACATTCAAAACAAAATGTCGGATTTCGATCACGACGATAGTGCAGATGCCTGGGCGTTATTAGCTTTAAAAGACCCCTCGAACTCCCCGTTTAGGGTGAAGGATGCAGGGGGTCAGGCTTTGGCAAAAATCCGTGGAAAAGAGTTCGAGTTTCTGGTTAGAAATAGTACTACCATTATTGGACGCAACTCTTCGACCCAAGGCAACGTTGACATTCATCTAGGCAATTCGAGTTTCATCAGTCGAGCTCATGTTGAAATTCTGTTCGAGAAATCCCGGTTTTTCCTGAAGTGCAATGGAAAAAATGGAATTTTTCTCGACGGTCATTTCCAACGAAAGAGTGCCCCACCTGTGGAAATGCCTAAAACGTGAGTATTAAAATTTTTAAAGCAAGATTATTTATTTTATTTTTGTACATTCATCGAGTTCTTGGCCTAGTTTTTTTTTTTTTAAAGCATGGCTGGCTATTTTTGTTTACTCTAGAGGTCTGTAGAGCCGGCAAGGTCGGGCCGCAGGTCCGGGTCAGAAATTTACTCGTCCCAGCCAGGACTTTGTTTTGATTCTGGGGCGCCAGTCATAGAGGATCGAGACGGTACAATTTAGGCCTATGTTGGGGCGCCGGGGTGAAGCAGATTTTCCTTAAGAATGGCCTGTCACAGTAGGGTAACACGTGGTGTAATACGTCAACACGGCAGGACACATTATAGATGCATGCTCTACTACCCCTCCTCTATAATAGTCGTTTGGTGGCCTGATAGAAGTTTATGATGACATATTAATATTATTGTTTTCTTTTAGTTGTTCTATCCGGTTTCCCAGTACAAGTATTCGGCTGTACTTTCAATCCTTAGTTCAGGTACAGTTCAGACATTTACAAGCTCAGGATTCATGAACCTGGATCCAGATTTAGAATCAGCCCTTCAAAAACTGGATTCCAGACAATGAACATTTCTTTAAATTTTGTACCGTCTTTTCAACCAAGTAAAGAAGTTTCAATGTTTTTCCGCGTATTTTATGCTAAAACTTTTTATAGATTAGGAATTGTTTAATTATCACTCATTAGCCAAATATTGTGATGTTTTGAAAGCAATTTTTTTATCTTGTTTGTGCGGATCCTGGTCCTAGTCCTGGAAGTCAAAATGTTGCGGATTTTAAGGATCCGGAGCCCGCGATTTAAAAAACTCGGAAAAATACGGCTCGGATCTAAGCTGTCGTTGGGCTTTATTTACGGCTTGAGCTTTCGGATTCAAGTTGCATCTTATTTTCTACAGAGTTGAGTTTAAAAAACCGGTTTAATATTCTATTTGGCGGATTTTCATGGTAGGAATTGGCGCATTCCCANAGATTATAATTTGATAATGGTTTAAACATAAGATATAAGATAAGAATAAAGGGATATGATGTCCTGGTCCTGTGATTTAAGATTAGTTGATATTTTCCAAACAGATTAAAAGAGCAAAGCACGACAAAACCCCTTCCAAAATATAAAAAACTACGTTTTTGGGCGCTTCGCGCATATCCTCTACTTCAATTGAGCATGTTCTCTTTGTAAACATTGTTGAAAAAATGATGTTGCGAATTGAAAAAAAATCGTGGATTTTCAAAATTTTCAAATATAGAATTTTGTTTGAACAAATTTTTGAAAATTCGATCATCCACAAACCTTCCCTGGGCTTACGCTAGGTCCTTAAAAAAAATGGGCCCGTTCAGCCGTTTTGCAAAGTAAATATTTAGATATCGACACTATAGAAGATTATTTTCGAGTCTTGTAAACAATTTTTAAGATTTAAAACCCTATTACTGTTAAGTTCACATTAAAATGTAAGTCTCATTTAAAAATTATTTTTTTATTATCCCGCCCGAAGAGACAGTAAACTCTAAATTCAGGTGTCGCTTGTTAAGCTAGCGCATCAATTTATTTTGCATTATTTACTCGTTATTGAATTTTATTGGCCTTTTAAAATTAGTTTAAGTGTTAAAATTGTTCTCTTTATCACGGGTGGGGGGTTGTGTAATTCTTGAAAATATTTAACCCAACTATTTGATCCTAAATGTTTTCTATTTAGGAACAATAAGTGTGCCTAACTCGTGTCCAGCTAGTCCAAGCAGGTAAAAAAATATATTAAATATTAAAAGGACTTTACACACACTTATTTACTTATTCATATCTACATATACGAATGTCTTGTTTTATTATATAGATTAAAAGGACTTTACACACACTTGAATTTTTATTTGATATAACATCTCTTTAAACTGTTTTCACGGATTTCAACATCAAACCTGCCGTCGTAATTTTATTGTATTAAATTTTCTGCAATTTTCCTCATTCTCTTTTTTTAAGAGAGTCGGATCTTTCTAAAGATGCGATAAAAATAAAAGCTCTAAATTTAAATTTTAAGTTCTAAGGGCAATAAGATGAATGTTTCAGTAAAATAGATTTATTCAAAAGTTACAAAACTGATTCAAAATATGGAAAACATTTACAATGTAAATCATACGGATATTTTGTACCAGACGGGGGCAAGGGAGATTGCTGAAGTATTTTGTACGAAACTCAGTTATTTAAATGTACTAATTGAACTTCAAAATAATCTTATTAAATAATTAAGTTGAAAACCAAGCAAGATCAGAAATAAACTAGTGAACATTTATAAATGTTTTTTTCGCACAAAAACTGTCTTAATTCTTATCTTGAAATCTTATTCAATTTATTTACGTTCATTGTTTACATTTTTTTGTACTGCAGGTTGTTCAATCCGTACAGCCAACTCTACCACAGAGGTCATACACCGCAAGCAGATGTACATCATAACCTTCAAGATACACAATATGACTCTCCTATACCTTCAGAAACACAATATGAGGATATTAAGCAGGTCGAATATATGAGACTAACTCCTTCCCTAGTTAATATGACTGCTAGTTATTATGATTTTTGAATTGAAGATCACAACTCCTCCTTAATAGAGTTTATGACGGCTAGTTATTATCATATATGAATTGAAGATCACAACTCCTCCTTAATAGAGTTTATGACAGCTAGTTATCATGATATATGAATTGAAGATCACAACTCCTCCTTAATAGAGTTTATGACGGCTAGTTATTATGATATATGAATTGAAGATCACAACTCCTCCTGAATAGAGTTTATGACGGCTACTTATTATGATATATGAATTAAAGATCACAACTCCTCCTTAATAGAGTTTTTGACTGCTAGTTATCATGATTTATGAATTGAAGATGACAACTCCTCCTTAAAAGAGTTTATGACCACTAGTTATTATGATTTATGAATTGAAGACGACAACTCCTAGTTACTATGATTTATGAATTATATACCTCTACTTCTTTAATAGAGTTGTTGACGGCTAGTTATTTTGATTTATGAATTAAAGACGACAACTCCCCCTTAATGGAGTTTATGACTGCTAGTTACTATGATTTATGAATTAAAGACGACAACTCCTTCCTTTATAGAGTTTACGACGGCTAGTTATTATGATTTATGAATTTTAAGACGACGATTCCCCTTAATGGAGTTTATAACTGCTACTTATTATGATTTATGAATTTTAAGACGACAATTCCCCCTTAATGGAGTTTATGACTGCTAGTTACTATGATTTATGAATTGAAGACGACAACTCCTCCTTAAAAGAGTTTATGACTGCTAGTTATTATGATTCATGAATTGAAGACGACAACTCCTAGTTACTATGATTTATATACCTCTACGGCTAGTCATTATGATTTATAAATTGAAGACGACAAACCTTTCCTTATAAGAGTTTGTGACTGCTAGTTTAGTTAAGAGTTATGGAGTAAAGACGACAACTCCTGCCTTAGTAGAGTTTATGACGGCTATTAATCATGATTTATGAATTGAAGACGACTTGAGTTGATATTTGTTATTATAGGATTTTAATCTGCTGAGTCAGAATGCTGTTGTTTATCCCACTGAAGATGGAAGACTTTCAACGGTCCCGGTTCCTTTGAATAACATACAGGTGAACCTGATAAACCTCTTTAATATCTCTTTCATCTATTTTTTCTCATTCGTAAACATCCTCTGAGGTTTTATGTCTTTTATAATCTAATCTCTCACTTGGAGATAACAATCTTCACGATTTTAATTCTTTGATTACTAATTAATGACTGATTGATGACAGATTGATGACTGATTGATGACAGATTAAAACTTGGTTGATTGACCGAATGATTGATTGATTACCGATTTGATTGATTGATTACTGGTTGGTTGATTGATCGATTGATTGATTTCAGGACGAGAGTAAGCCCCCGTTCTCCTACGCTCAGCTCATAGTTCAAGCAATAAGCCAGGCTTATGAGAAACAGTTAACATTGTCAGGTGAATTCTTAAAAATAATAAATCCTCAGGCCGAATTCAAAGAATTTTAACCACGTTGCTGAATCGCAATAACCGGTTTCAATTGAGCGCCGGCTCAAATCTTTCAACACTTATTAAAATGTCCAGCGGAACCAACCATGTTTGCACCGCGTCTCATGTTTGAACCGCGGTTCGAATTCTTTAAATTCGGCCACAAGAGGATGTTCAAAATAATCTTTAAAATATAAAGTAGGAAGGATATCCTCGCAATTTAATTGTGATTATTTAATTTTTTTTTCTTCAATTTTTCTTTTCAACTTGTTATTGATTAAATTAATTTGATAGGAAAGGCCTTGGTTTGGTGATTAATCTCATATTTTCAAGTTTGTAAACTAAATTAATCTTACTAGTTGACATGTACAGAAGAACTTAACATTTTTGCAGCAAATTAAATATGCCAAGTCTTGTTATATTATATCCATGTATCTTTTTTAAATTCATTTAATTTAAAAGAAAGAAGATATTTAAGAAACTGTAATGGAACTAATTTGAAATAATTTTTTTCATTCAAAACTGTAGAAAGTCTTAAAGTAAATAATTGTTCATGATTGATATTTCAAATCCAATTTTGGTCTGTAATTAGAAAGTACCAAAACTCAATACCGGATTTTTACCCATATTAAACCAGTAAAGAAATAGCTTATGAATGCATTTGTTAAATTTTTTCTTTAATTCTATGACGAAATAAATCAAACAAATTTTGTAACTAACAAATTCAGTCTAGAAAAAAATACATTTAGATTTTCAAGTAACGAATTACTCATCTCATATTTGTTAAATAATTGATATTTTGTAAGGTAATTGATTTTCTTTTTGTTCATTGATAGATATTTTTTCATTAATTGATTTTCTATTTGTTTTAATAATTGATATTTTATTCATTAATTGATTTTCTATTTGTTTAAATAATTGATATTTTATTCATTAATTGATTTTCTATTTGTTTTAATAATTGATATTTTATCCATTAATTGATTTTATTTTCTATTTGTTTATTGATAGATATTTTATTCATTAATTGATATTCCATTAATTAATTGATATATTATTGATTAATTGATATATTAATAATTAATTGATA